ACAAAAAAATCTTACTTTAGTGGCTCTAGATTCACCAGACTTTGCATATATAACACACCAAATTTCTTTGGAGATTTTACATCATTTGCAGAACAATATCATGTCAATTTTCTTAAGGGTGTCTTTATGCAAATAATGTAGATTATGTTACTTATATTATTTGAATATAATAATACAAATTATGTAAACTACAGTGATGAGTAAAATTTCATATTTAACAACAGTTGTGATTAATAGATCCTTTCTCTAAATAACAAGGTAAAACAAGACTTCAATGTGAAAAATATAAATACATTTTATATAAAAATACATATACGTATAATCATAGTATACTGAAAAAATATCTAAGAGGGAAACACCATTTTACAGGGACTCAACTGCAAGTTTCATTTTTAAAATTCCGATTATTTCATTCATTTTTGTGTTTTACTACTGAATTGTTATGAAATTATCTATCTATACATAGTCCAAGTATAAATATTTCTGGATAGAAAGATCACAATGTGCAAGATCCTATCTGATTTGATTTTTCTAGGATGAGTTATAATCATCAAACAAAGAGAGAGGATTCCTAAAGGATTTGCTTCAGTCAAACTTGGATTCTAAAAAAGGCAGATAGGATAAAGATGGATGCCCTTGAACTGTGGTGCTGGAGGCAACTATTTCACATCCCATGGATTGCAAAAATAACAAAGAAATCCTAGACCGAACCTCACAAAAAATATAATTTGAAGTCAAGATTTCCAGAGCCATACTTTGGTCATGTCATGAGAGCTGACTCACTCGAAAAATCGAACAGGCTGGGAGTGATCAGCAGAAAAAGGAGAAGGGGCTGCCCTAGTACCTGCTGGCTGGACACTATAAAGAATGACACTGGGATAACCGTGGCGGATCTGAAGGAGGTGATGCAAAACAGAGGGGCATGGAGAGTGCCAAGGGTCAAATTTTCTTTATTTTTTAATATTTTTACTATATATTGTGGGGCTGCATTACTAGTTGTCTATGGTCTCATGTGGCCCGTGGGTCACATATTGGACATACCTGGACTAGATGAACCAAAAGCTAATCCAGATAAGAGGGAAATGGCATAAGAGTGGAGCAATCTGCCTAGGGTATCAGAGTTCACCCTATTCTAGGGAAGACAGCATTTTCCTTGAAAAATAAAGTATCCAGTTTCCCATCTTCCCTTTTTAGGGAAAGTGGTAGAAAAGGTTGTTGCTTGGCAGCTTCAGAGGGCCCTGCATGAAACAGATTATGTAGTTCTTTTTCAGTCAGGATTCAGGCCCAGTTATGGGATAGAAACAGCATTTGTTGCACTTGTTGATGATCTCTGGTTAAGTGTGGGATGGGGTATTGTAATCATTCTTTTCTCGTTGACCTCTCAGCTGTTTTCAATACCATCAACCATGGTATCCCTTTGGGCACTTATGGGGTTTGAGCCTGGGCAGCATTGCTGTGCTGATTTGGCTCCTTTCTCCAAGGTCAGTCCCAATCAGTGGTGATAGGCAGTGAAAGATCTAGCCCATGGCTGCTCTTTTGTGGCATGCTGCAGGGCTTGGTATTCCTTTTTAACATCTACATGAAGCTGCCAGATGAAATCATCTGCCACCACAAGATGAGGTATCTAATGATGCTAATGATACTCAACTTTAATCTCCATCCCTGGTGATCCAAGTAATGTAGCTACCCTCTCATGGTGCCAGGAGACTATGAGGGGGACAACAGGCTTCAGCTGAATCCTGGCAAAATCGAATAGCTTTGGGTACATGGAGCTTCAGGATCTGGGACTCTTAACATCTTTAGTTCTGGATGGGATTACACTGGGGTTTCTCCTGGACTCACAACCCCTGCTCAAAGAGCAGGTGGTAGTCAAGGCTAGGAAAGCCTTTCCACTTCATTTTGTGCACCAGTTGCGTCTTTTCCTAGATCGGGAATCCCTGCACTCAGTCATTCAAGCCCTGGTCACCTTATGTCTGGACTACTGCAATGCACTCTTCATGAAGAGCAATCAGAGGCTATAATTGGTGCAGTGTGCAGTAGCACAGGCAATTTGAAGGGGGCCCTAGATTGGCCCATGTTGTATCACTGTTATGCGAGCTGCACTGGCTGCCAGTTGGATTCTGCGTGCAATTCAAGGTCTTGGTTATCACCTTTAAAACCCAGCATGGCATGGGTCCAGGCTATCTAAGAAGAGTCCATGACAATTCACCACAGCCAACTTGCCACAGCCAACTTGCTACAGCCAATTCATTGTGGGACAACTTGCCACAGCCAACTCACCGCAAGACAACTCACTGTGGGACAAGAATTACAATTATCAAAGAAATAATGGAATAGAATCATTAAAGAAAGGATGCAAAAGGAGGGACAGAATGAAATGTGAAGTGCAAAAATTAAAATATCTTTTTATTTATTTTAAATAATTAAATAAAATTGTTAAAACTGTCCTGCAGTAAGTTGTCCCATGGCAAGGTGGCCACAGTGAGTTGGCTGTGGCAAGTTGTCCCTTTCTGATCTGAGAAACCACCTCACAACAATGGGACTGCCCCCCCCTACCCCGCCAGCAGAAGGGCAAGTTATAGGCCCTGTCGCTCAGAAGATTTTAGCTAGCAAGGTCCGGAAGAGCTTTTTCTGCCATAATTCTTTGGAACATCTTGCCCCTTCCTTAAGACTATTCTGAAGTGCTTTATAATAATTTGCTAATTTGACAAGATACTACCAGATTATTTTTTATTGTTGAGATACCAGCTATAATTATTTCTGGGCCAAAGACAAACTGGCAACACTCAAATTTTCTTAACTTGTTTGCTGCAAAATGTTGAATTAGGTTATCTTCAGAAATAACTCCAAAACTTGAACTAGTTCAAAATACATTATAGTGCTATTAAGACTTAATCATAACACAATGTGTTTACAAACCTATAATTATCAGCAAACCAAAGTAAATTATTTTAAAGTTTATACAACTTGCCTCTGCCAAGCACATTAGTGCAAAATTCTTTTTCTGGAAAAAAAGAGTTACAGTATCTAGAGCAGTGGTTCTCAACCTATGGGTCGTGACCCCATTTGGGGTCGATCGACCATTTCACGGGGTGGCCAAGCAAGGCTGTCCGCCATTTTTTCCCCCTTTTCCAGCGGGTGCCTTACCTCCCTTGGGCTGGGCCAGCTGGTGGCCCAGCCGGTGGTTGGCCTGCTCCGTCTCTGCCACTTGCCAGCTACACCTTGGCCGGCGCAGGGGGCAGCACCATGCATGTGCAGCGCTCCCGGGCAGGGAAAGTCCTCGACTTATGACCGGTTGGGTAGTCCTCGACTTACAACCGGTTGGGGGTCGCGGCATTAAAAAGGTTGAGAACCACTGATCTAGAGTTTGAGTGCTATGCCCAAACAAAAGCCAAGCTTCTAAATATTAGTTAATTTAACTTTAAAATCTTATCTTTAGTAACAACTTTAGTAACAATTTTTGGAGGCCTCTGAGAATCATACTCGAGTTTTTAGAGCCTACATGTGACCCTGGGTTTCAGCAACTCAGCAATAAAGTGATATTCGCATCATTCTTTCCGAGCACCTTATACACAATATTAGTTCACCTTTTAATGGTGTTTTAAAAATGTACTACTTTTTGTCTCTCTCTCCCCCCCACCTGAAAATTCTAACCCCTAACCGGGGGAGGGGGGAGAACAAATTTTCAAGCACAATCCTAAACATTTATAGGGATCGTGCTCTCTGCACTGACTCATGTCAATGTAAAGTTAAAAATTTCAAAAATATTGCAAAATTAGCTCAGGTACTCTGGCAGACATTAAAAGTCATTTCTGCAAGCAAATGGTGCTGATGGCTATTATTTGGAGAACCTTTTCTTAAGGCAACTGTATTCATTGTATTTTCTCTACTGAAAGTTATAATAAAGGAATTGAACCTCATTAAATTAAACAATTGTTAGAAGCAGGGGAAATAAATTTTGAAAGAAATAACGTAATTCCCCCATGCCTTCTGAATCAATCTTCAACTCCCTGCATTTCCATTCTCCTTAAAAGGATGAATCTTTGTCAACTGATTTTGACACAATTTTAAGTTTAAGTTTAAGGAGCTAATGTTTCTTTCTCCAAGAAAAAAAATTAGAACTTGTTTTAATTAGGACAAATCCTAAGGAAAGAACAGGTAACAGAAGAACAGAGTTAGAAGGGATCTTGGAAGTCTTCTAGCCCAATCTCCTGCTCAAGCAGGAACCTCCAATGATGGAACACCCACAACTGCTGAAGACAAGTTGTTTCACTGATTAATTGTTCTCACTGCCAGGAAATTTCTCCTTAGTTCTAAACTGGATGTCTAGATACTAGAGGTGAATTATGTTTTAACTTTTATTTTTAGACTGATGCATTTCTTAATACCTTTTATCTGCCATTTATCCATCCCCAATAACATCTTGAATTTCTGAATGGAATAAATTTAGATTTTGGAAGTTTATTTGCCAGCTCCAGAGTTAACTCCCTTGACTTTTGATGCTTTCAATCAGTAAGAATCTAAATGAATCTTATTCTACAGAAGAAACGGGTCAGATGCTTTTCGGCAGTTAATCAGAAAGCGACAGACTTCTTCTCTAGGTTCCAAAAAGGATTTTTAATAGATAGTAGAGCAGAGTAGGACCAGGTAGAGTGCTAAAGCCTTCATTCTGCGAAAACTACTGAAAGCTTTGTTTATAAGAATGTCTTAGAGATTGTGCAGGTAAAATATTAACGCGGGAAACACGTGTTTCAAGTGCAACTATCACAGAAACCAGGCACGTCTAGAGCGAGACAGAGTAAACAATTGACCCGGGATACCGCTACTCATTGCGTGAGCAATCAAGAGACCGGTGAAAAAAAACAAGACAACGAACAATAAGCTCAGTAACAAAAAATGGTCCGAAACTGCATGGGGCGAAAAGAGGAGCGGGAACCACAATGGCTGCAGGAGGGAAAGTAACCTGCAGGTGTGGTCCTGGTCGGGAAGCACTTCCTTACCTCCGATTCCAGCTAGGCCTAGCGTTTACCCCAAAGGGGGCGCGCCAACGACCCAGACCAGCCCTCCCAGCGACGGGGGGGGGCGGAGCCGGGATCCGGCGGCGGCCGCGAAGAAACCCAGGCAGGAGGGGAGGGGCCCAAAGGGCTGCCACCGCGCCCCCTCGGCAGATCGCCTTCCCCGAAGTCAACGCCGCTTCCAGATATAAACCGACTGGTTCCGCCGAATGTTTAATTTCCTTAGCTCAGACTTCCCCCTCCTTGTCGTCCCGTTGACCTACTTCCGGCCAGAGGGGGCGCCAAAAGGCAGCTCTTCCGGAGCACATGACTTACCTTCGCCTTGACTAGCGAGGTTTGCAGTTGCCATGGTGATGGGGAGCGGGCTCTCGAAGTCGATCCTCGTTGGTATTGGGCGGGTCTTGATTTCGATTGCAGGCAGCGTGAGCTGTCGGTTTTCTCCTCGTGACGGTTAGGAGTTCAAGGGATAAAGCTTAGAAGGATGTTTTTACTTAACTTGTTGAATTTCTCCGAAGGATTCATGAGCCTCAAAGAAAGTAAGGAAGGGAGGCGAACAGGAATGGTCCTACTAAACCACTGTTCCAAGGAAAAGCGGGAAGCACACGTGGTTTGGACGAAGATGTCAAAGTGGGGACTAGAGGGAAATGCTAAATTCATGCACATTTAGTATTTTGAAAGGGACCTCGGAGGCCTTCTAGTCAACATTACCGAAAATCGTTCAGAAATAATAAATGAACTGAGGGAAGTCAGCTCCCCAGAGAAAGAAATATTAAAAGGGCAGAAAAATATATTTCCTCAAAAGGATTTTAAAAAGCAGAAACCAACCCTGCCCCCAAGTCTCTCTGTCCCAAGCAGAAGCCAGTCCTATACAAATGCAGATGTAAACCATCAGAAAGGCCCCAGCTAGGAGATCAAGAAGACAAAGACCTAAAATCTGCATATCCCACTTGAGACAGGACATGGTAGGATTAACCTACCATCAAGAATACTAGAAAGGTACACCCAGGCTTAGGTCAGAATATGTGACACAGGAAATACAAAGCCTCAATACAGGAACAGGAAACTATTCCAAACAAAAGGCTAGAGGGTATAGAAACCTACTATCTATGTGCTTGCTCACTCCTTCTTTTCTTTGGTCTTTCCTGCAAGAACCATCTTTCTGGCTTTTCAGTAAACTGCAACCTTCTTTCTAAAGTAGTCGCCATGTTGTTTATTTATCCCCGGCTTGGATGAACCAGGATGAAGACTTTACTTTCAACAGAACAACATGGGATACTTTGAACATAAAAGTGCATGCATATTTAGATCCTTAGCACACCCATAACATCAGCACATGCATTACATTCATTTAAATAGTTAAAGGGACATCATATATCGTTTTCTTAATATTAAGTCAGACTTAATAATATTTAAGAGTATCTTACATTGTTTTTACTTAGCTAGTTTTGAGCCTTAAGTTTCCTGATTTCATCCTTACAGATACAAGCTATTTGCTGGTGTTCTGTTTTAGTTATGTGTCCCTCTTTCCATTTTTTATACTTGTCCTTTTTGTCTCTCAGTTTATAAGAGAATTCTTTATGCAACCATACTGATTTTTTCTGGGTTCCCTTGCTTTTGCTTCTCTGTAGTATTCTGTTAGACTGGACTTTTGTAATCTTGTTTTTCAGAGTTTCCCAAACATCCTGAGTTGTTTTCCTCTTTAGAATTTCTATCTATAGAATTCTTTCTAAGTTATTTCTAGGTTTGTTGAAGATAACTCTCTTAAGACACTAGTTTGACTTTACTATTTGTGCCTGAATTATGTTGCATTCCAGTATGACATGGTCACTCTCCCCCAAAGTTCCTGCAATGTCCATCCCTTCAATTATTTCATCCCTATTAGTAATAATTAAGTCCAGTATAGCTGACCCTCTAGTTACCTTTTCAATCTTTTGGATAAAAAAGTTGTCTGCTAAGTTCATCAGGAACCTGTTTGAGCTTCCACTTGATGCAGAGATTGTCTTCCTGTTGATGTCAGGGTAGTTAAAGTCCCCTATTACTAGCTTGTATTTCCTGTACACATTAGCTAACTGGTTAGCAAAATTTCATCTATTTCCTCTGCTTGGTTGGGTGGTTGTAGTATAAACCTATGTCAATGACATTCCTATTTTCTTTTATATTAACCCATAAGTATTCAAGAAGGTTTTCATTCTTGTTTTTGTGTATTTCTGTACAGATGTAGTTATTTTTTACATACCATGTTTCCCCAAAGACCCAGAACATAAACCCTAGCCTGATTTTTTGGGGTGGGCCTAATATAAACCCTACCCCCAAAATAAGCTGGGAGGATGGACATGGCCACCACAAGAGGCAGCAAGTGCACGGGGGCCAACGGTGTTCAGCACCAACTGCAGCCCACAAGCTCCTTGGCACAGTGCAGGTAAGTCAACGCAGAGGCAGGGGGAAGGCAGGCAATCCAGATGTGCTGCATGGCCGCCTGGCTCACGGGAGGCTCGCACAGTGGCACTGGTAGCAGGTGGAGGCAGACGCACATGAGGGAGGCAGGCAATCCGGATGTGTAGCGCTGCTGCCTGGCCCATAGGAGGCTCGCAGGAGGATCACGAGGTGGCACAGGCAGCAGGTAGAGGCAGAGGCATGGGGGGAAGCAGGCAATCCCAACGCACTGTGCGGTTGCCTGCCCTGGTGCAGCCACGGGCAAGGTGAGAGATGGTGGGACAGAGTGGGTGGCATATCGGGATTGCCTGTCTCCTTCCCTGTGCCTCAGCCTCCTGCTGTTGCTGCTGCGCAAGTCTCCCACGATGTCAATTTTGAAAATGAGTGTGGCTGAGCCATTTTCCCTACTCGCTTTTGTTTGACACATAGCACGGAGGGAGGTGGGTTTACCAGGTGCTTCACTAGACTAAACAGATTTTCTCACGTGGGAACCAAGGTCATCGGCTGCTTGCCAAGAAGATGTATTGGGGAACATAGTAGCTTGCATAGCTTTAGGGGTGGGATTTCTTAATTTTGTATTGGAGCTTGTTACGTTTCTATTCAGACTTGGTTTCACTTTTTTTTTTTAAAAAAAACAAGTTTTATTAATTTTCCAATTTTACAAAGCTTCAGGTATTAAGGAAGCAACATGGTGGTTGGGTAATTCATAGTCCCATAACAAGCTCTTTCATATGTCAATTTACATCATCAAAAATTTCCTCTCTGTTTCCCTTGGTTATTATATCACATTCAAATTAATACATTGCTAGTTATAACTCAATCAGTTGAAACATTTATCAATATATTTTGACTTATACACCTCCATATCCTGTTTTTAACTTTTATCTAATTTCAGTTAGTGTTCCAGTTGGCTTAATGTCCATAGTATTTAGGTTTTGGATAGCCCACAGTTCCTTTAGTTCATTACAAAATAGTTATCATATCTAAAATACACTTATTATTTATTCAGATAAATTCTTACTTTATTTCACAATCATATTTTACTTCTCATTCTAATATCATCACTTACTTATAAAATAACCTTTATCATCTGAATACATCTTCTATATTATAATTCAAAACTATTATTCTAGTAACTAATTTATTTCCCTTGTAGGCCTAAATCCTAATGTCTTTTAAAATCTCCTTAGCCCATTAAGTGAAATTTTAGGCTCTTCCATTAAAGGTCACATAAAGAAAACCATTTTTTAAGTCTAACTCTGGCCTTCCTTTTGTGCAGGCTTCCATAGCAGAGCCTTTAAATCCTCGGGTGGATCTCCATTCCTGCGTATGTCATTTGAATCAAGGGAGATCATCCAGTTATCAACTTGTCAAGAAAGCTAGTCCCTTCATAGTCATTAGATTGTTGGCCTGATAGTTTGAATCTCCATATTTGGCTTGGTGTATTTATCACGAGTTCAGGCTAGTCTTCTTCTTCTGGTTTCAGCTGGTTTAAATAAAAAGTCATATTCAGTGTTGTTGTTATTTGATCGTCTGGATTATCTAACCTCAGTGTACTGTATATGTAAGTCTTCAGCACCTTCCATCTTAATATTGCTTTCTTCAGTTTCTGTTGCTGTTAGAATTGCAGATTTTTTAGATGAAATCAAGGTTGGGGTATCAGGGTTCTGAATAGATTGTAGCTGGTATTTTTAAAGTCCACTTTAGTGTTAATTCCTTCTTTTGTTGCCTTTTTAGTTGTAAGTTCATCTGTTGAAGTCTGGGCTACATTTTGTAGCTTTAAGGTGGCGCCTTTACCTTTCAGTCTGGAATTTATTCGCTTAAAGTGGAAAAATATTGAAACTCTGAAAACTGCTGGGTCTGCAGAAGGTTTCCTGTTTTTCAGCTAGTGACCAATTTAGCCTGGTTCAGTCTGGACCATATCCTGTTTTACAGAATCACGTGTTAGGTCAAAACTGTCTGGTATTTTTCAATATGTTAAGATAAGGATGTATAGAAAATAGCCATGTAAGGAATATTGTGTGCTCAGGAAATGTATACGTATTAAGGAGTATAAGTATGTTTTACAGACCCCCTTTCAGGGTTCAGACCCTTTGCTTTGTTTAGCTCTCTGAACCTGCGCAATAAACCTTCCCTTCCTTAAAGTGCTGGCTCAAGTTTCATAATTCTACAACAAGCTCAGTAGCCTCTAGGATTTTTTCAAGTATAAATTTGTAGTTAAGCTGTGGGTGGTATTCCTGCATTTCTGTGGTGTTTACAGATAGTCCTTTAGTGGATGCTATTTTTAATAAAAATCAATAAATGTCCACCTCCACAATAGAGAATTATTTTCACCACCCAGCTGTTTCAAGTTCTTATCTTTTTTGATAATGTCAAGGACAAATCTTAGTCTCAAAAGTCTCCCTGTCAGAAAAAAAATTCACTTGCTGTACCAAAGTTTGCCACAAGATGTCCCCAGTAACATGTAAAGTTGAGCTTTTATCCGGCTTAAAAAAGGAAGAAAGAAATATTCTTTTCTTTTTTTTCCAGCTTAGCAAATAGGTAAAATAATAAGTCTCTGTAAGAATAAAAAACCTTTTGGGAGCCCAGGTATCCAGAAATTACAAGTCCAAATATTTAATCATTTAATTTAGTTGTTCTTTTTTTTCCTTAGCTTTATATTCCCAAAGTAGGCAGAAGCTGCAGAATTAAGGGGGGGGGGGGAAGTATTTCCAAAGGCTTTTACAGGAAAGTAGTTGGGAAGCAGGAAAGGTAAGATAAGGTCTCACCCAATTCCTCCATGTTGGTTTTGTGCTTAGTAATGCTTGTGGCTTTTGGCTGGAACGGCTTGGT